CCGTATGGGTGCAGCGGTTATTTGGTTGATGTGTGCCCCCGGTGATGTGCTCGGTGTTATGGTCACCCAAGGTCTTTCTCCCTGAGTGAGGTCTGTAGTCTTTGTCCCTCTAGCCTATACTCTGTCCTCGGTCTTCTTTTTCCCTCCCCAATCTTCATGACTTTGCATTTGGCTGGATTGAATTCGAGAAGCCCGTTACTGGGCCCCCATGTCCAGCCTCTCCAGGTCTCTTTGCAGGGCCTGCCTCATCCTCGTCCCATTAATTCTTCTCATCAGCTTCACGTCATTGCGAACAGGGACACTTCAGAGTCTATTCCCTTTCCCTCATGTCGTTCACATATATCAAAAATAGCACTGGTCCTAGAACTGACCCTGTGGGACCCCGCTCGTAACAGGGCCCACTGTGATACCTCTTCACGTACCATGACTCGTTGCTCCTCCCTGTCAGGTATTCCCTTATCCATTGCAGTGCCCTTCCTTTTACGTGTGCCTGATCCTCCAGCTTCTGCACTAATCTCTTGTGGGGAACTGTGTCAAAGGCCTTCCTGCAGTCTAGGAAAACACAATCTACCCAACCCTCTCTCTCGTGTCTTACTTCTGTTACCTTGTCATAAAACTCCAGGAGGTTTGTGATACAAGATTTGCCTTCCATGAACCCATGCTGGTTTTCATTTATAATCTTGTTCCTTTCCAGGTGTTCGACCACTCTCCTCCTGATAATCTTCTCCATGACCTTGCACACGATACATGTCAGAGACCACAGGTCTGTAGTTTAGTGCCTCGTTTCTGTTTCCTTTTCTTAAATATGGGGACTACATTAGCTGTCTTCCATTTCTCAGGTAGTTGCCCAGTTTCAAGGGATGTGTTGAAGATTGTGGTTAGAGGCACACACAGCATCTCTGCTCCTTCTCTAAGGACCCATGGGGAGATGTTGTCCGGTCCCATCGCCTTTGAGGTGTCAAGGTCACTTAAGAGCTTCTTCACCTCCTCCTCAGTTGTTCGTGTGTGTGTGTTTGTGTGTGTGTGTGTGTGTGTGTGTGTGTGTGTGTGTGTGTGTGTGTGTGTGTGTGTGTGTGTGTGTATTCACCTAGTTGCACTCCGTCTGGTCTTCTTTGCCCTTCCCCAGTCTTCGTGACTTTGTACTTGGTGGGGTTGAACTCCAGGAGCCAGTTGCTGGACCAGGCCTGCAGCCTGTCCAGATCCCTTTGTAGTTCTGCCTGGTCCTCGTCCGACTGAAGTCTTCTCATCAACTTCACATCTGCAAACAAGGACACTTCTGAGTCCATTCCTTCCATCATGTTCACAAATATCAGAAACAGCTCTCTGACACCGTGGCGAGGTGTCAGAGTGAACGCCTGTGAGGAGCGGGATTCCAAAGTGGTCAGTCCTAGGACCAGTGCTGTTTCTGGTATTTGTGAACATGACGGAAGGAATAGACTCAGAAGTGTCCCTGTTTGCAGATGATAAGAAGTTGATGAGAAGACTTCAATCGGACGAGGACCAGGCAGAACTACAAAGGGTTCTGGACAGGCTGCAGGCCTGGTCCAGCAACTGGCTCCTGGAGTTCAACCCTACCAAGTGCAAAGTCATGAAAACTGAAGAAGGGCAAAGAAGACCGCAGACGGAATACAGTCAAGGGGGCCAGAGACTACAAACCTCACTCAAGGAAAAGGATCTTGGGGTGAGTATAACACCAGGCACATCTCCTGAAGCGCACATCAACCAAATAACTGCTGCAGCATATGGGCGCCTAGCAAACCCAAAAACAGCATTCCGATACCTTAATAAGGAATCGTTCAGGACCCTGTACACTGTGTACGTTAGGCCTATACTGGAGTATGCAGCACCAGTTTGAAACCCACACCTAGCCAAGCACGTAAGGAAACTAGAGAAAGTGCAAAGGTTTGCAACAAGACTAGCCCCGGAGCTAAGGGACATGTCCTACGAGGAGAGGTTAAGGGAAATCGACCTGACGACACTGGAAGACAGGAGAGATAGGGGGGATATGATAACGACATATAAATACTGAGAGGAATCGACAAGATGGACAGAGATAGGATGTTCCAGAGATGGGACACAGCAACAAGGGGTCACAGTTGGAAGTTGAAGACTCAGACGAATCACAGGGATGTTAGGAAGTATTTCTTCAGTCACAGAGTTGTCAGGAAGTGGAATAGTCTGGGAAGTGATGTAGTGGAGGCAGGATCCATACGAAGCTTTAAGAAGAGGTATGATAAAGCTCATGGAGCAGGAAGAGTGACCCAGTAGCGACTAGTGAAGAGGCGGGGCTAGGAGCTGTGACTCGACCCCTGCAGCCATAACTAGGTGAGTAACTAGGTGAGTACACACACACACACACACCTTCCTCTTATGCAAATTACCGTCGTGTATCTTCGGTGTAAATTTATTGTTTGGCAGTGCTGGGAAAATTATAGTTGAAGACCCAGAGCCAAAAATAAAGATCAAAATTAGTATTAAAACCTGACAGAGGATTTCTTGTTGTGTTGGTGGTGGTGTTGGTATTATTATTGTTGTTGTTGTTGTTGTTGTCTGTGTTGCTGGCTGTTTTGTTGGCTGTTTAGTTGGCTGTTGTTGTTCTTGTTGAAGTTGTTTTTGTTGTTGGTGTTATTGTTGATGGTGGTGTTGGTAGTCACATTATTAGCAGTAATCATTTTTGTTGTTGTTGTCGACGTAGCACTGAATGTTGATGGTGCTGTTGATGTAGCAGCAGTTCCATCCTCACTTCTTCCCTTTCCTCAGTTTATCAAGTAGTGTTCGGTAGCACGTTTGTTTGTCGACGGAGGGTCGAATCTCCATCTCCCCCCCCCCGACCTCCACACGGGTTTAGCGCTTCATATTATTATTGTTTATACCGTCAACTGGCGAGTGTAAAAGATGTGTCGGATTCAGAAGATGTTGGAAAAATTCGCAATCACTCGATAAAAATCACAACTCCGTTGATGGAACAATTCACAAATGAACCTTAAATTGATGAACAAGATTTGCAATACCGTGGCTGGAACAATTCACAACTGAATCTCAAATTGAAGAGCAAGTCACAATACCGAGGATGGAACAACCCAAATATCAATAAACGAAATTATCAATAACTTAGCTGGAACAATTTACAAATAACTTTCGGGTCCTTATAATATTATTATTTTATATTATTATTATTATTATTATTATTATTATTCAGGGGGATGCGCTAGAGCTGTAAAGGCCTAACAGACGCTCTTAAATGGAAGAAATTAAAGGTGAAAAACAAGCAGACAGTACGCCTACTGGCCCATATTAGGCTGGTTCAACTCGCACTCAACCCATCCCGAGATGATGGGTGATAGTGAGGCCTTGCTAAGACGAAAACCTTGCTAAGACGCAGACCTTGCTAAGACGCAGACCTTGCTAAGACGAAAACCTTGCTAAGACGCAGACCTTGCTAAGACGCAGGTCTTCTTAAGGTGTGATAATCACATAATTAGGCATTAACACCAGTATGTCATTATTATTCATGATCAAATGGGAAGATGTAATTAATGACAGAGTAGAGTGAATCATTCCACCAAGAACTACCACGTCAGTAGTCACCACCATCACGTCAGTAGTCACCACCATCAGTGCCGGATCAGCCGGGCTGTGGCTCGTACGTCGGACTGCGTGCGGCCAGTAGTAACAGCCTAGTTGATCAGGCCCTGATCCATCGGGAGGCCTGGTCGTGGACCGGGCCGCGGGGGCGTTGATCCCCGGAATAACCTCCAGGTAACCTCCAGGTATCACGTCAGTAGTCACCACCATCACGTCAGTAGTCACCACCACGACAGTAGTCACCACCATGTCAGTAGTTACCACCATCACGTCAGTAGTCACCACCATCACGTCAGTAGTCACCACCATGTCAGTAGTCACCACCACGTCAGTAGTCACCACCATCACGTCAGTAGTCACCACCATCACGTCAGTAGCCACCACTACGTCAGTAGTCACCACCATGTCAGTAGTCACCACCACGTTAGTAGTCACCACCATCACGTCAGTAGTCACCACCAGTACGTCAGCAGCCACCACTACGTCAGTAGCCACCACCACGTCAGTAGTCACCACCAGCACTTCAGTAGTCACCACCAGCACGTCAGTAGTCACCACCAGCACGTCAGTAGCTACCACTACGTCAGTAGCCACCACCACGTCAGTAGTCACCACCACGTCAGTAGTCACCACCATCACGTCAGTAGTTACCACCAGCACGTCAGTAGACACCAGCACGTCAGTACACACCAGCACGTCAGTCCACACCACCACGTCAGTAGACACCAGCACGTCAGTAGACACCAGCACATCAGTACACACCACAACGTCAGTACACACCACCGCGTCAGAACACACTACCACGTCAGTACACACCACCACGGCAGTAGACACCATCACGTCAGTAGACACCATCACGTCAGTAGACACCACCACGTCAGTACACACCACCACGGCAGTAGACACCATCACGTCAGTAGACACCATCACGTCAGTAGACACCACCACGTCAGTAGACACCACCACGTCAGTACACACCACCACCTAGGGTAGCGGGACCACTGCACGTGACGTCAAGTGGAAGTGCTAAACTCGTAAGGATAATACACTCGTAAAAGACACATGTATCACACTGATTTTTTCCTCTGACGATTGTTTGTGTTTTTTTTTTTTCGGGAGGGCTAAATCCGTAAGGGTTGTCTCTGCCTTTTTAGTCTTTCAGGGTTGTCCCTACCTTGTGAGTCTTTCAGGGTTGTCCCTACCTTGTGAGTCTTCCAGGGTTGTCCCTACCTTGTGAGTCCTCCAGGGTTGTCCCTACCTTGTGAGTCTTCCAGGGGTGTCCCTAGCTTGTGAGTCTTCCAGGGCTGTCCCTACCCTGTGAGTCTTCCAGGGTTGTCCCTACCTTGTGAGTCTTCCAGGGTTGTCCCTACCTTGTGAGTCTTCCAGGGGTGTCCCTACCTTGTGAGTCTTCCAGGACTGTCCCTATCTTGTTAGTCCTCCAGGTGTCTATCTCGTGAGTCTTCAAGTTGTCCCTGCCATGTGAGTCTTCCAGGGTTGTTGCTGCCTTATATGAGTCTTAGCGAGGTAGTCCCTACCTTATGAGTCTTAGCGAGGTTGTCCAGGGGTTGTAGATCGTGTTGTGAGTGGCCCGGGCCACACTCCCGGCACCCGGACCACCTACACACCAGGCAGTAGAGGGTGGGCCGCTCCCCGTGTACTGCACACACCTCGCACCCACCGGGTACGCTTTGGCCCCCCAGGGGGGTGACGGCCCCTAAAGTGTGTGTTGCCAGGGGCCCCCTGGAGGGGTGGCAGGAGGTGAGGCAGGGCCCACAGTAGAGGATCTGGCACTGGTGGCACTCTGTGGTGGCGGGGCGCGGCGGGCCCTCGCACAGCTGACACGGCGGCAGGGTGGCGGGAGTGCCGCTGGTGCAAGCTGGCACTGCCGCCGGCGCCTCAGACAGTGCCGGATCGCCCCGATGACGGGCGATGATGCGGGTCATGGCAGTGTAGCGGGGCAGGTCACCCGCTGCCCCGGGGCCGAGTGCTGACACCTTCACACACACAGGGCACCGCACCCCCTGCTGCTGCTGACCCTGCTGCTGCTGCTGCTGCTGACCCTGCTGCTGACCTTGCTGTTGCTGCTGCCCACCGTCGCTGCCTTCACACGTCACCGTCGTCTCCGGACTGCTGACGTACGACGTGGGACGGGAGGCGACTACCACGCCGCTGTCAGTCTCACTGTACACGGAAGCTTTGTCACTGTCAGCGCCTCCGTCAGGAGGGTCGGGATCATGGCCCGGAGGGCCTGCCTGCTGGCCTGCTACAGGCTCAGCCAGCAGTGCCTGCACGCTACGCTGTATACTACATGCACACTTCAAACACAGGGCGTGTAAACAAGGCAGGAGCACGGGCTCTGTGAAGATATTAGCACACACGGGACACCGTAGCTCCTCCTCCATCGCTTACGATGGTTAGGGAAACACTAAACGCGATCTCGCGATTCGCGATTCTCTGGGTTGGCCCAGAGACTCGCTGCTTCGACGGTGGCCGGCCCGCCAGCGAGCCTCCCGTGAACGCATGCGCCAGCGCGGCCGCGATCACCGCAATTCACTCCCGCTTCTCGTACGCACGCCGGGGACCCTCAGTGTAAACACTGGCGCATGCACGCACAATACCTCCTCCTCTATTAGACTCGCTGCCTTATTTTTCAAATCGTTAAGTTATCATAAAATTACCTTACCTATTGTATACCTTTTTTTTGTACTGTCTGCGTTTTTCTCATTTGTCATTGTTGGTGACCAGATGAAGAGATTAATATCCGTAAGGTCAAGGGTCGAAAGGTATTGATTTGGGTCGAGATTGATTAGAGGTCAAGGTCGCGTGATTAACTGTGGAACACTTTTCTCACTCTCACTTTCTCTCTCTCTCTCTCTCTCTCTCTCTCTCTCTCTCTCTCTCTCTCTCTCTCTCTCGCTCTCTCGCTCTCACTCACACGTGTATTTATTATTTATTTTTCTCTGTGATCTCCAGTAATCCATATACGTCACGAGCTAACTTCGTAAATAAATAACCCACACATAGAAGAGAGGAGCTTACGACGACGTTTCGGTCCGACTTGGACCATTTACAGTCACACCGAAACGTCATCGTAAGCTCCTCTCTTCTATGTGCGGGTTATTTGTGTATCGTTCCAGTCACGGTAACGTGCCTTTTTTTTGTTATTAAGTTCATAAACATCTCACTCATGCAGTATACACTTACCAGAGTGTCCCTACGTTAAAATAAAGCAATAACGCAAATATTATTCGGCTTAACTGGGGACAGTTGCATGGTGGCCAAGTGACAGTAGTTGATTTATGCGTCGGGGAAATTTCCCTGACACGGGTCTTAGTCAAATGATCACCGGCTCGGTGGTGCTCTTGGCCCTGCGGCAGTGCACGGCAAGTAGCAGTCGCTGGTGTGAGGTGCCGCTGGTTTCATGGAGGGACAGGGCAAGAAGTAGTCGTGTATAGTCGCTGGTGTGTGGTACCATTGGCCCTATGGTGACGTCTAGCGCAGTGCCCAGCTCAGTCAGCTCACAACCGAATGGTTCTGGGTTCGAATCCTTGACAGGTCGAGACATATGGACGAATCTCCTTACACGCACTGCCTTTGCCTTTTTTCGTCCACAGTAAGAAAAAAGGGGCACCTGGATGTTAGTGTAATGTTACGGGTCGCATCTTGACGAATGCTTAAGTACTGTATACAAATGACTGGGACACTCGAATCTCTCTCAAATGACTTAATTCCGAATTATGTGCGCAAGGAACAAATTATGCTACTAGCAGGGTAGAGAGCCCCCCCCCCTCCCGCACTGTTGTGGGACCGGGCCGCGGGGACGGTGACCTCCGGAAGCGACTCCATGTAAACTCCAGATAATGGTGGGACCCGGCATGCAGCAACCACTGGCGCGTGGTGCGTTAACCCTACGGCGAAGCACGACAAGTAGGAATTCCACTGTCGCGTGATGCCGCTGATGCCAATGGCGGAGCGCGGTAACTAGCAGCGGCTGCTATAAGGTGCCGTTGGCTTCATGTACAGACGAAGGAATAGACGGTATTCAGATATTTACACTGGAAGGTAGAGTAGCCGGTTCTCCTACAGCGGAAGAACAACAGTAGCAACTGTAAGTCCTAAACGAAAATTCGAAGTCGGGGCAGCCTTTGGTCCCATGGCTTGCCACTGCAGCACCGATAACTGATTAACCAGTGCCTGAGTCGATGACCAGAGTGGATATCAACACGTCAGGTCGCTAAAGGTTGACGTAAACAGACACCAGGGCAAAAAAAAATTATTTATCGAAGTTTTCATTCTCGTTCAAGATGTTAATGATAATATTAGAAGTATCAATAAACATTCTATTCTCTGTGATGCACGTTCTTAACAATTATGCTACGTGATTGTTTAAACACAACATTTTTATTTTTACCAGTAAGCACAGAGTATACTTCTAATATATACGTACGTCTGAAGTCATATCATTCACAAGTATAGCACTGCAATCAGACTTCAGATATCAGTACCTAAAAGCAGTCAGCAGTTTCAATATTGTAAATGCTAGAGATAATGTTAGCATCATTTGATAAAGAACTTTATAAGCAAATTTAGCTCAAGTAAATAAAAATTGCCTATATATATATATATATATATATATATATATATATATATATATATATATATATATATATATATATGCAATAAGATCACAGTAAACAGGTGATTTCAGAAATATATATATATATATATATATATATATATATATATATATATATATATATATATATATATATATATATATATATATATACACAACAGGAAACACAGCTGACAGTTAACATAAAAGAGGACGTATTAGGTCCCAGCTTACTCTTGCATATTCAGTTCTCTCCTGGGATGCATAACGTTTACTGTGTCATATGAAATGGGAATTTATTTTATTTTTATGCCCTCGCTGAAAAATTCCCGGTGTGGCATCCGTCCGTCTATTCATTCGTCTATCTATCCATTCGTTCGCCCGTCGATTCTTTGGTCCATTTATTCGTATGTTCATCCTTCTGTTTGTTTATTCACTTAGCCATCTGTTCGTTCTTTTGCCCATTCGTTTGTTTGTCCACTCATTCTCCTGCTCATCCGGCTGACCCATTCATCTTTCACTCCAATTCCGTGCATTCGTTCATTCGTCTATTAATATTTTCTTCCATCTCTCCATCCACCCACTCATTCCTCATCCGTCATTCCTCTATATGTCCGTCTATTCGTGTTCCCTTCCGTTCGTCTATTAGTCCATTCATTTATTTATCCATCCATTATCTTCCTGCTTCCCTTCTTGTCCCAGCATATTTATTCCTTGCGCTTCTGCATAGTTATCAGTTTGTTGCTATCCTCCTTTTCAGCATGTTTTAAATGGCCTTTCACTCTTACTCATTGCCTAAGTGGACTTCCTTTGCAAACCTTGCACTATTTTTTGTATTCCTTGTTGTCATTACTGGTACATATATATCTGTTTCTTCCTAGCATAAGGTGAAAGCTTGTTTACCAATTCGTTTAATCTTGCACTTTATTTCTCTTTCTGGCCGCATTTACTCCAGGAACTCTCATTCCTCTCCCACCGTCTCAATAATATTAACAATGGTATATACAATATCGACAACTTGATGAATAGGACACCTGTGCAATACCTTGGCATCTGTATTTCAGTAAGGTTTTAACAACGTAGTAGATTTCTTCCGTCGAATACAGAGGTGAATAAAATTAGAGACAGCAAGCCTTGAAGAGTAGTTTTGAGGTGGTTAGTCCCTCAGTTTTAAGAGGCGACTAGCTCCATCCTCCCGATCATCTCGTTTTTTACATCTCTCCACTCTTGCTTCTCGCAATTACCAGTTAATGAAGGGAAGACCGTGAAGACATAGACTCCATGAGATTCCTGATATGTGATTTTCTCTACGTCTGCTTCACTAAGGAAAAAGACCAGATCTAGTCTCGCTGGTTCATCCTTTCCTCGTACCCTTGTGACATCCTTAACATATTGACTTATAAGGTTTTCCATTACAGCAGTCATCAGTTTTTCTCTCCAATTTTTTCGTTTCCCCATTTCTCCGATTTTTTTAGTTGACTAAATTCAATGATCTTTATTGTCGCCTTCTTTGAATGATCTCTTTGTACTGAGTGTAAACAATCTGTTTATGCACCGACAAGAGAGAGCACAAAACAGTTTAACTGATCAGCCTGACCTTTCCACCAGAGTGAAATGGCAATGCTGTGAAGCAAAGAGAAGTGGGGAAAAGGAAAGGAAAGGAAGAAGGGAAAAGGGAAGAAAGAATGGAAAATGTAAGGGGAAAGATGAAATATAGGGAGAGGGGACATGGAAAGGGAGGAGAAAGAGAAGAAGAAAAGGGGAGAAAGGAGCGTGTGTAAACATAAGCTTTGGCTGCCGAGGAAAGTGCAACTGGAAGAGGGGGGAAAGGGGAAAAAGATAAAGAGGGAAGGGGGAGAGTCGAGAGTGTTTATTATTACCTTGAAGGCTGGTGAGGCAGGAGTAATTATCGAGTAGAGTAACGACCACACCGGGACAATTGCATTCTTCTATACTCTCTAGCTTCCTTACATAAACTTAACAAAATTGTTACAATAATAATAATATTATTATTATTATTATTATTATTATTATTATTATTAGTAGTAGTAGTAGTAGTAGTAGTAGTAGTAGTAGTAGTAGAAGTAGTAGTAATATTCATGTTAAGCGCTAAATCCATGTGGGTCATTCTGCGCAAGACGAGGTGGAGGCTCGATCCTCCGTCTGCTGAGCGCGAGACAGACGCGCTTACTGTTGGTACCCACCTAGATATCCGAAGAACTCGAGGTATCACCTCGTTAACACTGATCTCTCTAGTAATCACCTGAATTCCCCGTCGGAGCTGATACTTCAGCAATGTTCCCACTCTAGTTAATGAAACACTGCACTAACAGCCACGTCCATCACCTGGTGTCTAATACGAGAACACCCCGTTTTTCTTATTACCCTAAATTATAGAGTCCATTAAACTCAATTGTTCTATAATAGAGCCTTATTACTAAAGGTTATACAGAGCCTGGGAATTAGAGGAACTTCAAGAGCCTTAGCAAGCCTCAAGGTTCCTACTTAACGAGTACATATCCTCCTATTTCCTGTACTCCCCTTCTCCCCTCAGTTCTAACCGTCACCGGGACTTAAAGAAGCAGATTACACCCGAAGGAAATCCTCCGACGAATAAGGTACATGTGCTACACCTAAGTGTTGCACCTGTTCACGAACTTGTCGGTATTGTGTACTAACAACAATGTGTCACCCTCTATACCACGTCTATCCTAGTCTTGGCAATTTTGTCCACCTGCACTCAGGTCAGAGTGAACTTCAGCTGGCGTGGGAAGGAGTGGAAGGGGCTATTAAATTTTAACCCAACACAAGAGACTTCTGTGACGAGGCTTACGCTTGGTCACAAAATATCTCTCCTGCACAATATTTACAGTGGATAAAAATGGCTTCTTGCTGACAAGCATGAAAAGAAAGAAAAAAATTTTTTTCTTT